TCCTCCATCTGGCCCATCTCATACCCAGTCAGAGCAGTGCCTCCACAGAATGACATAAAATAGCCCCCCCAAAAAGAACAAAGCGCTTCATGGCACAGTGCTGCCTCCAGGGGGCAGGTGAGAAGAGAGTAAGCCAGAAGTGACAGATGTTCCACCTCCTCCTGCACTGACACTGATTTTCGGGAGATAAATACAGTGTAAGAATCCACACTGGACACAGCACGGCAAACAGCACCTGAAGCACCATTTCTTTCTGGTTTGAATATGATATTTAAGGCAGAGAAAAAGATCACATGCAAAGACTAACACACTTTTCTGATCCACCTCTCTTTTCTGGTCACCACAAGCATATTTCACTGGGTTTTTTGTTGCTATTTTAACATCTCTTGCCTTCAGAGTCCCCACCGCATGCACACATACTGGAGATTCAGCTGGCCTTTCAACATCGTTTGCCCAGGGTTTGTTTTATGGATGACAGGGCTTTTACAGGGCAAAGCTGCAGTATTTGAGTCTTCATTTCTACTATTCACTGCCCTACTTTATTGCGATATGGTGGGGGGAAGGTGCCAGGGGATTACTTCAGGTCCATTTATAAAAGGAACCCGAGACATAAATCTATGCCTTTCCTGATAAGAGTACAAAATGTCAAGGGAAAGCCACGCTTGCTAAACAAGTCGAATATGAAGCATGCCAAAAGGCTGGCGTGTTCCCTCGGACTCTTGACTACCCCTTTCCGGCCAGCCAGCTGCAGAGCGTACCCAGTAGAAGAGACCTACGTCTCCTTGCCTCCTGACAAAGTGGCACAGCCTTTGCTGCCTCCAGTTTTGCGACTCCAGGAGGAATCCTGTAGACACAAGGAAAAAGTATTCTCCCTGAAATCAGCTAACTGACACACAGTGAGATATTTAGTATATCAAGTCCTGGCATTTGGAAAATGTGTTTGTGCCTAGGCCTTATGTTCATAATTACCACAGCGGCAGTGAATCTTAATGAATCAGTAATGACCTTCAAACGGATACTGAAACTATTTCAGCTTCCACTTCATCGGCTAATGAAGTCATACAAATAGGTAGAATTTCTTTTAGGAGGCTAGGTAAAGCTGATCCCAAATACTGAGCTTTCTCCTCCTTTCTGTTTTACTTGAGTGTTACGGGACAGTGAATTTAAGAGCTGACATAATTCATCACTGCCTGCAGAAATTGTGAAAAGCTTAAGAGGTACAGCCATCTAACGGATGCTTCCAATAAATCCCATCAATTTCCCAAATGATTCCTCAGCAAGTAAAGATAATACAGTGGTTACTTTTTGCCAGACAGAAAACGCATGAGCGCACAACACGTCACTGTCCATTGCACCCTAGTAAGAAGGTAACGTTGCGTTTGCATGCGACTGCTATCCATCATGCCAAACTCTGCACCTTCCTCACGATAAGCTTCTTTGCTACTCAGTTCTTTAGCTGTTCATAAGATGTGCATTAATATGCTTGAAGTACGTGTTTTTTTCCAGTTAAAACCTCAGAAATGGGCTATTCCCTTGTTGTGAATCTGCTGGTCAGCAATTCTACCACTAAAGTCTTCCTAGGATAAGTGAGGATGGAAGAGAGCTCAGGAGGTCTCTGGGCCAACCTCTGCTCCAAGCAGGGCCAGCTCTGAGATCAGGTTGCTCAGGCTGACTCTGAAAGCCTCCAAGAACGGAGACCCCGCAATGCCTCTGGGCAACCTGTTCCATGCTTGGCTGTCCTCATGGGGAAAAGTTCCTCCTCATCTGCTGTCTGAAACTCTCATTTCAGCTTATGCTGGTTGTCTCTCATCTTCTCTCAGCCCATGTACTTCTATAAAAAGACTGGCTCCCCCCGTCAATGACTCCTGTGCATCCCCCAAGGGCTGGCTGCTGCCAGATCGCTCTGCAGTTGCCTCTTCCCCAAGCTAAACAAGCCCCATTTGCCGGCTCCTCCTCACAGGGCATGGCTCCAGCCCTGACTATCGTGGTGGCCTCTGCTGAACTGGCCCCAGTTTGCCGAAATCTTTCCTGTACTGGGGACCCAAAGTGTCCCCAGTACATAGTGTCTGTTGACCTCCTTTGCTAACAGGGTGTTCTGCAGCTCCTGTCCCACCAGCTGTTTGCAAGGACGCCCAGCGCCCTTCTCCAGAGCTTCTTCCCAGCCAGGCAGTCGCAGCCCGTAATGCCGCAAGGCAAAGCCCCCACAAATCTCTCTGTGGTCCTTGCATTGCTCCAGCATAGTATTTTTGAAATTAACTGGAAGTCTGCAAAACTTTGCAATACCAATGCACATTTTCAGAGTTATCAAACAGTAAAAATAAATACTTCTGATTGATACTTATTGTAAAATTTAGCAAAAAGAAGAAAAATATCCAAGGTCTCTGAATGATAAGACAAATTCAAAATAAATAGTAAATAATAAAATAATAACTAAGTAAACTAAATATAATGCTTGTTTTCTTCCTATCCCTCAAGGTTTGCATTATACACATAATGCATGCATTGTTTCAGGGTGAGACATGCAGCAAAGATAGCTGGAGAAATGCTGACTGCACGTTCACTTATACGCACAGGAGCTGACTTTGTACCAGCAACCACAACTCTTCGCACCCAGTGGTCCAGCCAATTTTCCACACATCTCACAGTTCACTTCTTTCCAAACCATGCTCCATCAGTTTGGCTGTAAGGACATTACAAAAGACTGTGTGGAAGGCTTTACTAAAGTCCGGGTAAACAGCATTCGTTTCTCTTCCCTTGTCTTTTCATCATTGGAGGCAACCAGGTTGGTCAGGCATAATTTGCTTTCAGTAAATCCATGCCGGCTGTCTCCAGTCACCTGCTTGTCATTCATGTGGATGGACATGGCTTCTAAGAGAACAAGCTCCATGATCTTCCCAGGGACTGAGGTGACGATGACTGGCCTGTAGTTCCCAGGATCTCCTTCTTGCCTTTTTTTTTTTTTTTTGGAAGATGGGCATAAAATTTGGGTTTTTTTCTGGTCCTTTTTAGACCTCCTTAGATCACTATGACCTTTGCAAGATAATAGAGCGGCCCTGTAGTGACACTGGTCAGCTCCCTCAGTGCCCTCAGATGCCTCCTATCCAGTCCCATGGACTTATATAGGTCCATTTTGCTGAAGTGATCCCTAATTCAGCCACCTGGGAAGTCAGTAACAGCACAAAGTGGACTGGTTTGGCTTCCCAGGCTCCATCTGAACCACAGGTCAATTCTGTCTCATCTCCCTTCGGTGCACAATATTCTTGATGAAACAATTGCAGCAGGCAAGAGCTCCAGAAACACATGTTAGAGGGAACATGGAGCTCTAGAGGGATCTGTGGGAGGACGTTCCTGCAGCAGAGGATTCACTGCAGGGAGCTCAGACGCCGTTATTTGAAACGCCATCTCTCAGCTTGCATGTACACAAGCTTTATGTCTATTTAGAGACTTCATCACCGGGTAGGAGATGGGCACCGTAGTTTTGGATTGCAATTGTTTATCATCTCAAATGACCACAACCAATCATGCCACTGAAGAAACTGCATGTGCAAAAAACATGAATAAACTGTTGGCCACCTCAGGAGAACTAGAGGAGATCAGGCCTTGCAAGCACTCTGTTCAAGATGGACCAAACCAGGAAGAAGTAGAAAGCACATATGTGAATGTGTTTGGTGAAAAGGGGCAAAAAATGTCTATTAAATATTTTCTTTCTGTACTATAAAAATGTTTTCCTCAGTGTGTCCTGTGTTGTCTTACTTCCAAATGACATACACTGAACTCCTTACCCCAGCGAATAGCAAGCACAATCTGAGGAAAAGTACAGCACTTCATATAAAAGACAGGCTGGATAACAACTGTAATACTGACAACATAGAGTAGTGTTCTGAAACTACAAGTGCATTTTTATTGTAGAAAGCAACCAGCAAGCCTTTTCATGGTTGTAACTAATTGTGGCAGGGGGAAAAAAAAATCTGCATTCAAAATATATTTTCTAGTTTATTTAAAAATATATATGTAAAACAACTTTTAGCAGGGCACAGTTGAGGGGAAACTGATTTTTTTTTTAAACCAAGAGAAAGAAGATCTTTGATTTTGTTACACCGGCATTGTTTTGAAAACAAAACAAAAATGCTATTTTGTAAAAAACAAATATTGGGTAACTGATGCAAAAAGCCTTCTGTTGAAATACATGCTTTTATACTAATCTATAGGTTTTTACTGTTCTGGGATTACAGCAAAAACATGGATTGCCTTAGTTATTAAAATCAACTACTGAGAAGAAAAAGTCTAAGAAATCTGTTGGTTACAAACCAGCTATTAGCAAAGAGACAAAGACAAGTAGGTAATGACTGCTGCGTTACGTACTCCTGCTCTATGGCCTCCACAAGATTTTTATTATCAGTGTAAGTAATAGCCAAGATTTTACTTCATCAAAGAGTGACGTTTCTGTCACTGATCTGAAAATATGCAGAAGAGACACTTAAGAAATTTTGCCTGTTGGGAATAGTGTGATTCGCCGACATGCAATGCATACTCTTAAAGAACAATGAGCTCCTTCCTCCGTACTTCATACTTGCTGCTCAACGAAAGCAGTGGGATGGATCCTGTTGGATTAACATAACACCGTCCTATTTCTCCTTGTAATTTCCCATGAACTATTTATTCATGATTCTGGATGCCTGGAAGTTCGAAACAAAGGCCAAAGTCGTTTTAGCCCTTTTTTTTTATATCCAACAGCTTTTCTGAGCATAAAAGTAGGCCTGTCTGGCTAAACTCGGACATTGGCCTTCCTTGGAAGAGAGCATCGCGTGCCACTTATTCAGGCTTCTGCCCTTCAGCCAGATGAACTCAGCACTGGATCTAGGGTCTGCTTGGAATCCCCATGCTTCCCTGCGTGGTCCCCATGGTTTGCTGCATACAGATCTCTCTTTTTCTCATAAGCCAAGGAAAGCCATAGCTTGGCTACAAGGAAGCAAAGCTGATACTAAAACAAGCCTCCTTACCTGTGCTGCTGGAGATGTTAACATCAATGCTGATATCAGATATACCACCTCCTTTCAGAGATGCAACACACGTGTATGTCCCAAAGTCAGTGAATTTCAGATCAATGATGTCCAGGTTTGTGGTGCCAGGGGAAACATCAGGGTCAGTCTGCGTGATGACCATCCTTTCGGAGCTTCGCAAGGGACGTCCATTTTTAAACCAACTGAACGTAAGCTCTTCAGAAGGGACAGCTTCCACCTGGCAGGAGATTTTCACCTCACGCCCAATCTGGATATTGTCATCTTTGTGGTATGGGTCAGGAGTGATCCAAAAGCGTCCTTTTTTTAAGGCTGAAATGTGCAAAGAAACCCAAGTTTAGTCTAATAAAGCACCCAATTTGCATCTTTTGATCCTGACTTGGCAAAGACTAACATTGACACTTCACTTGATGTTTCCAAATAACGCTTGTGAAGTCACTGAAACTTCCCATGGCACCCTTAGCACACGGGTTAATTTCTTACAGGATCAGATCTTAATCACATATCACTGCATAGTATACATTGCTAAAGGACTTGTCACTTCTATACTGAACAGTAGGAACAGTCACTGTATTTAAACTAAGCTGAGCTGCCGACAACTGAATAACCAAAATAATTTGTGAATCTTCAGTGTTTGCCCTCCCTTTCTCGAGGTATTTACAAGCCCTTCCTTACCCGCCATGCTGTCAGAGCATTCAGAGAAGAAAAAACAAAGATATCTCTCAAACATCACTACTACAACCAGCAGTGCCATCTCCAATCTATCTGCAAACGAACCTAACCACACAACCTAGCCCTACACCAGCTGGTTGCAGCAAAAGAGGTCAGCGCGTGCCTGAGGCCACAGCCTGCCCCCATTTACATGCATACTGCTTGCTCTGTGGCAGTTGGATGCCTGCCCCAGTCGCGGTGGCTGCCCACTGGTGGACAGCTCTCTCCAGGTGACCAGCAGCCCAGTGGTGGCCACGTGCCGCACAGGCTTGCTTATCTGGGGAAACTGCACGAGCTCCAAAAGGCACCAAGTCTGAAAGTACATCTTTAGGTAGGCCTGAGCGGACGGCCCATGGCAAAAGCTGACAAGATGCTTTTCCAAGACGTAACTACCCAGGGGAGCCAGTCACACACACCTGGTTCACATTTCCACCGCCTGGGATAGCGGAAACCCACCTGGGCCTCAGAGGAAGAGCCTTAGGCTGAAGGGTGTGCACAAACCTCAGGGAAAACATCATCGCTCACAGCAGCACAGCACGCCCCAAGTAGCCTTGTCTACAGCTAAGATCATTCAAGCCAGCAATACAAATGTAATCGATTCTCTAACGCACAGCAATGCTGCAATAAGGCAGTCCTGGCATTACATACAGATGGGAGCCCTGCAGCAGGCGCGTTTCTTGGAGGCATCCCACCAGCAGATGCAGGGCCCAGGAGTGCCCAGGTGATGCTGGGAGCACAGCACTCCACCAGGACGTGCCCATATAACCGCGTTCCTGAGGAAGATCGGCGTCATTCCCTAACATCACCCATGAAGCTACTCTACGAGAGCATCCCGGTACTACTGTTTGCTTCCCTGATTTCTCTCGTCACACTTGAAACGAGCATAAAGCTATCCAGAACCTGTCACCACTCAAAGCAATCAAGGGGTTGCTCTGAAGCAGGGTTAGCATGACTCATTTTTGGAAGAACGCTTCCGAATCAGCCATTAAGCTCTTAACGTACGCATATCTTTTGACGCGCCGAATGTACTTATATAAACCCCAACTCCTTCTCCTCCTTTACGTGCGCGGGTGAGTACATATGTATGTTATGTTTATATATAGTCTATCTCTAACTGGAAAGCCCCACAAGGAAAGCACCACTTAGAAATGTTATAAGCAAATATGCAGGTTTGATGCATTTTTAAGAACACGTTGATGCGTTTTTAAGAACATATTCGTGGATCTTGAAAGTTTCATTAACTTTATCAAGATTAAGTTTGCATCAAAAGGTGTAAATTTTTTTTCTTTATTCAGCATCTCTCCCTCCCCTTTAAAAGCTGCAGTCAGTTCCTCAGCAGAATTAACATCTGAGGGCTCGGACTGTGGGCCATAAGCCACCTGCCTCATGGACCAGGGAGGGCTCCCCTGGCACCCATGGACTAACTTACTTAATCAACTAAGTTTTGTGCGTATGTTTTTTTGGTTTAGTTTTATTTCGGCTGAGTGTTAGCTACTGGTAGTAACTGGGCAGGACTGTCTGCTGTCCAGATCTGCTACAGCAAAGTCTAATCACCAAAGAACTGCAGCAGAGCATGTACTGGAGCTGCATATTTCTTTATACATACATATAACAGGAGTTGAGGATGAGGACTGTGAAGCAGCGTATTACATGGAAAAAGTTAAGTGAGTTTATAGAAACTCTGAAGTGCTGGCAAAAATTTCTGTCCTTTATTCCCTTTCCTCCTCTCTTCCTCAAAATCAAACCTCTTAACATCTTTTAAGCAATGCTGAGATATACATGACGTTCATCAGAAACAGCCATGAAATCCCCACATTAAACAACCTAACCGCTGTTCAAGTACAACCCACAGCTGAAAGCCAATGTACTGTTTTTCTAAGCCCATTCTCCAAGACTCCACAGAACTGCCCAGCCATCACCATTTCCTTCTGTTGCCAACAAAATCCACAGAAAATTCAACTTTACAGTATAGTGTCTTTGCAGAGTTAAGCAGCATCACTGAACAGTACGTATCCATATCCCTAATCTCACTTAGTACCAGAATAACCAGTTATCTCTGCGATTAACCTGTTTATCTTGGAATTCTAATACACCACCAAAGCACATAAAAACCACCATCCATACCTGGAAGTATGTCCCCAAAATCCAACTGCAGGTGTCACAAGATGCCTGATGGGTGTGGGTCTGAAGGGTGGTGGGAACAGGGAGCAGCACAGAGGCATGCTGAATGGAAGGAAACACTTGCTCTGAGCCTGCACTGGCACCTGGGGTTACAACCAGAACTGCCCTAGCCTTGACAGTGCTGAGTCGTTCACTATTCAGCCCAAAAGCAAGCCCAAAAGCAACCCCCAAACTAGACTGCCTTTCACTGAAATTCCCTGTAGGCTCATTCCACTGATTATCTTCAAGGATAGGAAGCTCTGTAAGACGCTCTACAGGCTACAAGAAAGAACAAACCTCCCATCCCTAAACCTTCGAAATAGCAATAATGATGGTGCTACAACATCCTAGGAGCTAGAGGTCTTTCTTAGGAAGAGAAATTGTACTTGGACCTCCCACTTCAGCCTGATGAGTGTCTAGATCACTTCACATACTGAAAACTGAACACATCCTGAACCACCAGCTCACAAACCAGTCTGAGCAGAACGAACGATTCACTATCTTAGAGCAGAGGATGTGTCTGAGTGGAGGGGACTCTTAGCTGGTAGAGATAGAAGGCGCTCTCCTGAGATGACTCTCCTCAGGCTTTTGAGATAAATGTTATTAGAGCAATGAAGTGCTAGTCTCAGCCCCTATGCAAACGGTGTTGGCCTTAGCAAAAGGACATGGAGTCAGTAGATGTCTCCGGAGTCACTGTACTTTCTGCAGCCTTGGGAATACAAAGCTGCTCTTTACAGATAGGAAGGCGTAGAGCCTGAGGTTTGCACAAGCTGGATGTGGTCTTCCAAAAGACTTCAGCCCTCACTGATTTATGCTGTGTGCCATATACTGACCCTCTTGGGAACCCTGAGCTGGTACAAATGGAGGCACCACCAAGCAACAGAAAACACTGTATGCATTCTCCATAGGTCTCTGCATTCAGAGTCAATTCCCATAAAGCAGTAGTTTAAATTTTGTTTATGCCGAGGTTCTTGGACCATAGTTTCCAGGCACCACCCCCCATAAAATACTAAGTATATTAAAACCTACAGTGGATTCTGATTCTTGTTTTCTCACTGTATCATAACGCTTGAGGCATCATTGCAACATTTCCTTCACAAATATTGGATTAGATACAGTAAATAAAAGGGAAGGAGATTTGGGGGTAACCAGAGCAATGTGGGAGGCAGTGCTGCAGACCCATGCTAATCACAGCTGTATCCCAGCAGAGATTTCAGAACATAATCAAAATACAGTGCTAGAAAATATCAGCAGATGTGCAGATAGCCTGTAACTGCACTCTGAGACCCAGCTCATGGCCAGGAAAAGACCAGACTTTCTCCAAAGAGGCCCTGAAGAACTATGATGTGATCAAATAAACAAAGATGAAGCAATTTTTATCCTCACATTCCTCACAAAACTCTTCACTGTCTCTGCCTTCCCCCATTAATTACATTTCAAAGTAATAAACTGCATTTCAGTATCTTAACTAAGGCATATTTGCATTCATCAGGTTAAGCTGCATCTTCCCACCCCCACCCTGATCAACCCAAAATGCTCCTTTAATCCATCAAAATGTTCATATCTTGCAAACGCACATTTCCTGATATATGAACTGCATCAAACACTGTAATTGAATACATTAGCTGCTGCACAATTTGTAGGTTTGACATAATAGTCACTGGCCACTGACTGCTTCCTAAGCTGACGCCAGGCATTGGTGAATGCTTGGATTTGTGTGTTGTGATGTTTGTGTCTGCTCACAGCCCGCACCAACAGCAATATTAAACAGCAGAACTGTGCAAATTACTGATTTGAACCTTCACTGAGCAGTTGGATTACACATGAGGTTCAACCTATATGCAACCTATACGCAAGCAAAAGTGGCTTCAACTAATAATTTTGGTTGTCCCTCTTAATGTTTTGCTAAGGCTGGACAGAGATTTTGCTTTATCCTGTTCCCAAACTACATGAGAATGTCATCTGGCAATGCGCCAAGCAGAAAGGAAGACTTGCATGGCTTTCGGACCACAACAAGCACGTTTTGGGGCTTTCTTGAGCTCAGCTTCCAGTATACTACTTGTTTCTGAGCATCCAGGCACAGGCACTTCATCAAGTAAGGGTCAACATCTTCATGTTCAGGTCCTGCTCATTCCCAAGATCCTTTGAAAGAGCTGCAGATTCGGAGTTTCAGCTGTATTCCCTGGGTGAGGCAAAGCAGCAATGCATTCTGAGTGCTCAAATGTTACTAACCCTTTGATGTTTCTTTCTCGCATGCACACACAAGAGTTCATGCTATTTGGGAAGACCCTTGACTTTATTTTTAAGGCCAATGGCCTGCAGAGAAACAGCAAGTAAAGGACTAATGCTCTGAATCAAAGTTCAGCAGAGTGAGTGATGGTCCCTTCCATGGCTTCTATGAGCTTTGGATTAAGCCCTTTGCCTTTACTTCTATTTCACAT